TTTGGGGGTGAGCTTAGAGATTTCCCTTTCTTTTTGTAACCTTAACAAGGTACTAAGAAGTATATTTTATTCAGAATGTAGGGGTTTGTAGTGAGAGGGACTTACAGTTAAACTAATCTACCATATAGCTGAAAGGGTAGCTCTAAGGGAAGAATTTTGTTTTAACAACCCTAATTAAAGACTTAAAAATTGACAAATAAAAATTTTGTATATTTATGGTATACAGTGTGATGTTTTTATATATGTATACATTGCAGAATGGCTAAATCAAGCTATTTAACATGCATTACCTCATCTGCTTGCTGTTCTTTTTGTGGTGAAAACACTTAAAATGTACTCTCTTAGCAATTTTCAAGTATACAATATATTGTTTTTAACCTTGATGTAAAATATATCTATTGAACTTATTCCTCCTATGAATTTTGTGTCTTTGACCAACATCTCCCCAATTCCCCCAACTCCCAGCCTCTGATAACCATAATTTTACTCTGTGTCTATGTATTTGACGTTTTTAGATTCCACATGTAAGTGAGACTATGCAGTAATATCTTTCCGTTTCTGGCTTATTATAACCAAGATGTAGAATCAATCTAAATGTCCATCAACAGATGAATGGATGAAGAAAACGTATGTATACACAACAAAATACTATTCAGCCCTTAAAAGAGGGAAATGCTGTCAATTGTAACAATGTAGATGAACCTGGAGAACACAGGTTCTTTTTGACCTACTTCTTCCTTACCTTATCAAATAATTCTAAAGTTGTTTTTTTCTCAGATAATTTTTTTTTTTTTTGAAACAAAGTTTCGTGGTCGCCCAGGCTGGAGTGCAATCTCGGCTCACTACAACCTCCACCTCTTGAGTTCAAGCGATCCTCCTGCTTCAGCCTCCCAAGTAGCTGGGATTACAGGCGCCTGCCACCATGCACCTGTATTTTTAGTAGAGACAGGGTTTCACCATGTTGGCCAGGATGGTCTCAAACTCCTGACCTCAGGTAATCTGCCTGCCTCGGCCTCCCAAAGTGCTGGAGATGATTTTTTTTAAAGCATGTTTTCATCTCTTAAATGGGAAGAAAAACTATAATCTTTATAGTTTAGATCATTAAATATATTTTTTGTAAAACTTAGTACTTGATACAGAAATGAACTCAAATTTGAAAATTGATATCAAAAAAATACTCAATTCACCAGCCACCTCTGTGTTTGATAAAACTTCCAGAAGTTCCTGATGATGTACGTTTTAAAGTCATTTTAAAATAAACTAGTTAATTATTTTATTGCTGAATAATATTCCATTGTATACATGTATAACACATTTTCTGTATCAATTTTACCCACTGTTGGACTCTTAGATTGATTTCTTTTCTTGGTTATTTTAAATAGTGCTGCAATAAACATAGGAGTACAAATATGTCTTCAACATACTGATTTCATTTGCTTAATACATATACCCAGTAGTAGGACTACTGGATCATATAGTTCTATTTTTAATTTTTTGAGGGACCTCTGTACTGTTTTCCATGATTGTAATCATTTACATCCTACCAGCAATGTGTAAAGCTTCCTTTGTCTTCACATTCTCACTGACATTTGTTATTATTTAACATTTGTTAAATATTGTACTGCTTTTAATGGCAAAAACTGCAGTTACTTTTGCACCAACCTTCTTTTCCTCTTTTTAATAAAAGCCACTCTATGTGGAGTAAGGTGGTATCTCATTGTGGTTTTGATTTTAATTTTCATGATGATTAGAATGAAATCTTGTCATTTGGAACAACATGAATGAACCTAGAGGAAATTATGTTATGCAAAATGGAACAGGCACAAAAAGACATACACTACATGTTCTCACTCATATGTGAAATCCTAAAATGTTGATCTCATAGAAATAGTGAATGGAACAGTGGTTACCAGACTGAAGAGGGTGGGTGAAAGGGAGCTTGGGGAGTATAGTCAAGAAATACAAAGTTACAATTAGAAAAGAAGAATAGATGCTGGTGCCCTATTGCATAGTAGAGTGACCAAAGTCAACAAGATATTGCGTATCTCAAAATAGCTAGAAGAGAAGATTGTGTATGTTCTCACCACAAAGCAACGGTAAATGTTTGAAGTGATGAATATGCTAATTACCCTGATTCCTTCATTACATACTGTATACATATATCAAAGTATCACATTGTACCCCATAAATATGTACAATTATTATGTGTCAATTAAAATTTTAAAAATAGAATGAACTAAAGTACTTAAAGTCCTGAAGATTATGACTTTTCTTAGCTTACAAATGTTTTGAAATTTTTTCAGTCTATTCAAGATGAAACAATATTCTACAAGGTAGTAATGGGACTATTTCAGGCTATTTCAATAATAATGGGAGTATTTCAGGATTTTTTCACTTCTCATCAAAACAATGGTTTTCAAATTGTCTAATGGAGATCATCTCTCACTGGAAATATTAATAAGTATCCAGTGGTGAAATGATTCTATGGTCAAATAAATGTGGAAAAATTCTTTCCACTGTGCCTATTTTTCAGAGATTAATAATGTGTGTTAGTATACTAAAGTCTTACTGTATTTTTCTTTACTCTCAGGAGAAATATAAATGTTGAAATCTTTTTGAGAGCAATTTGGTATAATCCTTTGAGTCACTAACAAAATTTTATAAATTTTGGTGAAAATTACCACATCACTTTTTGCCACAATTTAAAAATAATGATGTTTAAAAAGAAGGCAATCAAAATTGAGCATAGCAGCAATATTAGACAACTAGAGCAGAAAAGTAGATTTGTCCACCAAACAATGATGTAAAGCTGGATAGGTCACAATATGAACCAACAAAATTTGCAATCTGGAGGGGAAGACACCAGCATGGTATAGATTATTACATGGATGAAATGTCCTAGGTTGAATGTTGTTAAATTGTACTTTGCTTTGATTTTTCCTTTCCTGATGAAAAAATGTGGCTTAAATCACATAGTACATGTAGCTGATTTCAGTATTTGCAGCTGATTTTAATAGTTTTAGTATTAGAGTTGCAAATAACTTTAGGAGGGGAATGGAGGGGGCACAGTATTGCTTATATATATCTAATAAGATAAATTATTGACAATAATGGGAGCTAACAATTTCGAAACACACACACACACAAAACCAAGTCAGAAAGACAGATTTAGAGTGCACATTCAAATACTATTCAAATAACAGGGCACTTTAGCCCAAGAACTCAACAAGCAAGCCCTAATGGGAAATGAATCCCTACTGTGCAGGGGGATGCACCTCTTGCTGCCTTGTACCAGGGTTTGTTAGCTTCAGCACTATCAACATTTTAGATGGGATATTTCTTTGTTATTGGGGGCTGTCCTATGTGTTGCAGAATACTTAATAGCATTCCAGGCGTCTACCTAGTATATGTCAGTAGCAATCCCCTGTCCTAGTTGTAACAATCTAAACTGCCTTTAGACATTGTCAAATGTTCCCTAGGAGGCAAATTCTCCCCAGCTTGAGAACCATTGCCTTATACCAGTCACTAAGGAGTTGAATCAACCATCTAAACAATGGCTCTGTTTTTGTGCTTACTGAGACGTCTACTAAATTACCATTGAAGAGTGGGTAAAAGCAGATTAGCTGGGTTCACAATCTAACTGTGCCATTTATTAGTTATATGGCCATGGTCAAGTTCTTGACTTCTCTGTGCTTCCGCTATTCTTATTTATAATGTGGTGAGAATGACATCTACTTTATAGGTGTTTGTTGAGAAGATTTGATGACAACTTTTATAAAGCACAGCAATAAAGACCTGGTACATAATGTTTTATTAAAATTTGGAATTAACAATAATATGATTACTAATTTCACTTATCTCATACTCTGTGACAGACCAATGATTCCTTCCACTTGACTTGATATTTATGTTTCTGTTTATTAATTAACACATTGACGTTCAGCTTTCTCTTGAGTCTTCTGTGATTTTGGTAGGTGTAACCAAGAAGCCCTGAATTTAGTCAACTCTTTGACCCTTGCAGCACTGAGATTCTGCAAAGCTAACAAGACTTTGTATTGCCATTAATTAATTAAAAATATATATGTCGGGTATGAGACAGGTCTCTGGTTAGCCATTCCATCAACCTTCCCTGATAACATCTAATTTTGTCTCTGCCTTCTTTCAATTTCAGTAAGTTACTGTTTAACTACATATGCCTTGTGATGTTGCTGCTAATAATAATAATAACCATTCCCCTCCCCTCTTATGTAACCATGTGGTCATATGCATACCAATTCACCTTATCTGTAAAATAAGAGTGTGGAGCTAAAGAGTATCTAAATTTTCTCCAGCAGTAATAGAACCATATTTATTAATAATTATTTCGACAGATTAGTGTATGTAGAAGACACAGGGGCTCTGGGAATTGAAAAATGGTAGAGGTCACTTGATAGGTGAGATATAAGCTCGAATAGGGCTTTGCAAGGAAGAACACTGGAACGCACAGCATTAAGAACGTGAGAACATTGTACTGAAAATGAACTTGTAATTCACAACTTTGTGCAGGGCTCTCTCTGTTCACAGCCATCTCTTCACAGCTGTCTCATAGCCATTCAGAGTGAAGAAAGAGCCAAGCCCTCATTACTGACATCACACCTTACTGACATTTAGAATGTGAAGAAATCACTTCCTGAAAGACAGGTGAGAGTTAAGCTTTCATTTTCTAAGGCAGCTGATAGTGTTTGAGACAACTCCTCAACTGACAGCTCAGTTTTACTGACAAGGCTGCATCCATGATCCTCTCTCTACCCTGTGGTCAATGCCTTGACTTTGACAGCCCTGTTGCCACTCTGCACAACTTCAGAAAAAGGAAGAGGAATTGATGTGCACTGTCCCAGTCCAGTTGTAGTTCTGCTACCACCTAGCGTACTCCCTCCATTATCTTTGATATCTGCAGCCTAGATTGTGTCACTTCATCCATGGCCCCAGTTACATGGCTGCAATGCACTCTGTTTTTTTATAATTTTATATTTTACTTTAAAAATATGGAGCATGTCCTCCTTGTACAGGGGCCATGCTAATCTTTTCTGTATTGTTCCAATTTTCATTGCTGTCTGAATAACAGCAAGCTACAATAAAACTTCTCAGAATAAAGTAACAGATAAACAACTAACACCGTTATGAAGAGAAATCTTTTTCTGCAGATCTATGGACACTTTCCTTTATTAAATTAATTCTTATATATGGGGCACTTTAAGGGGCAAAGGGCATTTACAAATGTAAATAGGAAACATTGTTTGAAGCACTGATTCTATCTACTCATTACAAAGTTAGCATTTAAGGAATAATTATCTTCTACCTACACTATCTGCTTTCAGCAAAGGTTAGAAGGAATCATGAGCTGCCTCTGATATGTGTAACAAAATCAATTTTAGTTCTTGGACCAGCAGGCATTGTTTGATCTGGGATTAAAGTGGCACTCAAAGGATTTGGTGTTTTCAATTTTTAACTATGGATAACTCTTAAATTTGTTCCTACAAGCTACTTTAAGACAAACCATTGGACTTTAAGTTTCCGAAATTCAAGGTTAAACTCATTTGAGAATAATCGTGTTCCACATTTTATTTCCTTTATTTCTAAATGAAAATAGGAGGTTTACATTTCCATGGATGCCTTCAACTTTACTGATAAGAAAGTGTTAATTATTACTGTTAGTCTGATATAGGAAAAGCTTTTCTTTTTCTTTTTTTTAACCTGTGGACTCTGAAGAAACAAGTAGTAGTACATGCAGTATACAGTATCAGGCAGGACTTATGATAAAATGTGTTCAACATTTCATTTTACTCTCTGTATTAAATAGGGAAAATCACGAAAGAAGTAAAGCAATGAAGTCTAACCTACTTTCAATGGAAAATAGATTATTTTATAAATTGTAACATATTCCTGGCACATAGTATCTGCTCATATATCCATAGCATTTGTGATCAATAATTTATTGAACAACCTGGAATTTGTTCTTTATTAAATTATTCTTCATTTTATTTAGGAAGAAAAACAATGATTTCATCCTCTGATAAGCTAAGTTCACAAAACAATAGTAAATAAAAATAGAAAAATCTTAATGATGAACTGTTCGTAAATTTTAAAATTGCTTTATTATTAAGCTCCTTTGGTTGCCTAATGATGGCAAATCTCTCAACACTACTTCTCTCTGCTGCTGCCCCCAAACTCTGTATATAATTTTGCATTAAGAATATTACAAACTGTATTTCTTGAAAACGGAGTTTAATTAATGGCTGACCTTTCATTAAGAGAGAACTTCAACCTGTGCTAATGGGGATGACAAGCCAGCAGGTGCAGGAGTATGTTGGGGAGGTGAGTTAGAAGTACAGTGAGATGATGAAGGTACAGTGGACTTATGGGCTGTGGTAAAGGATGGATACACACACACACACACACACACACACACACACACACACACTTTCAAGGGAACAGATGAATAGAGTTTAAATTGCGGAGAACTTTGAAAGTTGGGCTGAGGATCATTAACTTGGTTTTGCATGGAATAGACTGCTATTGTCACATGGGAGCAGAAAATGTTATATATAGGTTCCTATAATCTCTACAAATCCATTCACCATTAGTGCAAAGTCTACATAATTAGCATTTTTTTTACAGTGGTATAAATGGCAAGGAATGCTATGAGTTCCATTTTACCATGACCCTTCAGTTTAAAATTTTTCACTTAAAATTGTTTACGTGAAATCTGCCTAAGTGATTTTGCCTAATGGAATATGCAACTCTGATTATCTGGTGTAGCCCTTAACCTCAAGTAAGACTTCAGGAAATCCCTAAAACTGATCATGACCCAGAAAAAGCCCATGTGCATTGCAACATTCTTGGAGAGAAAGAAAAGTCCTAATTACAGTATTAAATGTATCTAGTCTTATCCAAATATTTCAAGACTGTGAATTTAAAAAAACAATCTCCAATATTTTGCTGCCATTAAGTTTTAAAGAAAATTTTTCTTTAAAATGTAATAAGCAATAAAATCTTCCTCTTTGTTTGAAATTTTATTTCTTACATTAAATGCTTTAATATTTATTAAAAATGCTTTTCAGACTTATGACTGTATCAGTATACCAGATGCAATAAGTTCCTAAGTAAATAGCTTATGCAAATTTTAAACCTGTCACGTATCTGACTTGGTCAGGCCTTGCATTTCATTTTTCCCTACACATAGTATAAAACATAGAGTTATTTTGTTATTTTGTGTTATTTAGAATGCAACTGACTCCAAAAAGCAAAAGACCCAAGAAAATACGATAGTACCCACCTTATGCCAGGTGGATACTGTTCAAGACCTCCAATGGATGCCTGAAACCATGGATAGTACTGAACTCTATACATACAGACATATGATGAAGTTTAACTTTAACTTAGGCACAGCAAGATATTAACAACAATAATTACTAGTAAAATGGAACAATTGTAGCAATCTACTCTAAATAAGTTATGTAAATGTGGTCGCTCTATCTTTCTCAAAATCTGTTATTGTATAGCACTCACCTATTTTCAGATGGCAGTTGACCACGGGTAACTAAATCAGCAGAAAGTGAAACTGGATAAGTAGGGACTACTGTACATAAACAAAAAAAGCATAACACAACCTAAACATAACAGGAAGTCCAGAAGGTAAGACAATGGGAAAACTCAATAATGCAATGACTCCACAATGTCATCATTTGACCTCTCTGCTCTGCCGTCTGAGATTAGAAGCTAATTCTTACGTGGTTGCAGGAAGGCTGCAGAAATTTAAGGCATCAGTTCACTGCACAGTAATTTCTTAAGGCTAGAAGGCAGTGAATACTTTGTTTTAGTCTCTTTTTAAGAGTAAAGAAAACCTCCTAGAAGCCTCTCCCCAAACTTCTCTTTAGATTCCAGTGGGCATAATTGCATTCCATTCGCTGTCCTCCACCTAAACCAGACACTGGGAAAGAGAAAAGGATTATTGTGGAATTGTTTTGATTGTTAGACTAATGTAGATCCACATCCTATTTGCTCCAATTCAGGAACAAATTTGGGATTTTGTGAGCAAAGATGGGGTTTGAAGGAATAAAAGGTGACATTCTGTACAACACAGGAGTTGAAAAGTGACAAGATATTCATCCATACATGCACATTTTAAAATCTACTGGAGTATTTGCCACAAAGATTAAGATTCTTCTGTTTAAATGTGATCAATTTTGGCCCCAGAGTTAAAGATCTCAAGTTCAGACTGTTTGAAGGAATTTAACATTATATATGTTTATAAGAAATCTGGGTTTTATACTAACTCCCATATTCCCAGTTTTTATAAAATCTGGCTTTCAAACAAAGTTGTCATCTGTTTCCCCAGCAGTTCAGAGAGATATAATAATCACATGTAAGCACTAAATGTCACTGAAAACACTGCTCTCACTTTCCTAGGTCCTGGTTTGAAAAGGTTTCTTGAGTCATTTAAAGCAAAAGCACAAGCAAACAAAAACTTCAGTACGGTTCCATTTGAAACAAAAATCAGTAGTAATTGCTTCAGACTTTATAGATTTCAATTGTAAATTTATCTGTTTCTCAAAAGAGAAACAAAAACTTTAATATTCTTGTATCATGTGGTTATACGGCAGCAACCAAATAATTAGGCAGTAAAAACAGATTTGGGGTCATAGTGACACAAAACACAAATCTAGTGAGTGAAATGGTAGTCTGCAGCCGTTGAAATCTGATAGGCTTAGCACTCCAGCCTCTGTATCCCAAAGCAATCAGGCACCATTTTTGTAAAGTTCCATCTGCTTTTAATAAGAGCTCCTCATGCTATGCAATTGATATTAAAAATTTTTGAATAAGCAACCAAGGAAAGATATTTCCTCCCCAAACTAATTTAGTATCATTTTAAATATTAGAATCTACTGAATGCTAATACATGTTAATTTCTGATTACTTTTTAGGCATGGATCCACCTTACTGGACCCAAAGCATAATTAATTACAAAAAACGTTAGTTATTGTCATACAGAATCTAATAAGTAAAATGTTCACAGTAGTCAGAAATCATTAAAAATTTCTCCAGAAAAGTAAAGGGATACATACTCATACTTATGACGAGCTATCTATGAACAGATCATGCAGTTTCTAAATATTTAGTCACTTTATTTTCACAAGAATTTTCTGAGGTGTGAACTACTATTCTTTTTAAAAAATACTATTTTTAATCAACACATAATAATTGTACATAATTATAGGGCACGGTGTGATATGTTGATACATGTGTACAATAGGCAATAATCAAATGAAGATAATTAGAAAACCCATCACTTCAAACATTTATCACTTCTTTGTGTTGGGAGCATTCAAAACCTTGGCTTCTAGCTATTTGAAAATATACAATAAATTGTTAGCTATAATCACTCACAGTGCTATAGAACACTAGAACTTATTCCCCCTATTTAGGTATAATCTTGTATCCTTTAACCAACCCTCTCTTTATATCTCCTTTAACCCTACCCTTCCTAGCCTCTAGTAACCACTTGCCTCTCTACTTATATAAGATCAACTTTTTTAACTTCCACGTGTAAGGAGAACATGCAGTATTCATTTTTCTGTGCCAGAGTTATTTCACTTAATATAATGTGCTACAGGATCACTGATGTTGCTGCAAATAACTGGATTTCATTCTGTCTTATGGCTAAGTAGTATTCCATTGTGTACATATACCACATTTTATTTTTTCATTCATCTGTTGATGGACACATAGGTTGATCCCATGTCTTGGCTATTGTAAATAGTCCTGCAATAAACATGGAAGTACAGATGTCTCTTTAACACACTGATTTTCTTTTTTAAGATATATATCGAGTATTGGGATTCGTGGATCACAGGATAGTTCTAATTTTAGGTTTTTGAGGAACCTCCATACTGTTTTCTGTAATGGCTACACTAATTTGCATTCTCACCAATAGCATATGAGTTCCCCTTTCTCTGCATCCTTGACAGCATTTGTTATTTTATTTTATTTTTTTGTCCTTTTGATAATAGCCACTCTAACCAGGGTGAGATGATAACTCCTTGTTGTTTTAGTTTGCATTTCTCTG